TGAAGACTGTAAGCAGAGCCTTACATAAAAGCACACCGAAAAAAAAGAATTGCCAGAACTGTATCAGCCGCAGAAGTTAGTCTGGCTCCAAGAGCTTGTAGGTACACGACAAACCATATGCCGTATCAGCTTTACATGTAGCAAATTTATTTCTTTACATCTCTGGCAGATGTTTATTTTCCTTTAGTTTCCCTTCCTTCCTCTCCTCTTCTGTCCACTACCTTCTAAAGTCAGGTTGTCTCAATTTTTTTTTTTCCTTTGGTCACTCCCAGGTAGTATCTGATACTGCTCCCTTTGGGAACATACATTTGCAGCCACCTCTTCGCAACCTTTTCTGTTGCACAGTCTCTGTGCTTTACCTTAATGGAAAGAAAGAAAATACTATTTGAATTGCAGAAATACATTCTGGAAAACAGTAAAATGAAATTTCTGTTTACTTAAAAGAAAAACTGTACCAGCTCCAAACAGTTATCCATCAATTAGGTATTTTCAGCTAATCAAAGACCACATTCTTCTAGCTTTTTTCCTTATTTGAAGATACTGTGTATTGGTTTATACTGAGAATATTTCTTACAGTAAAATGAAATAATCTCTATGGTGATAAATATGACACCATCAGATTTGCAAGCAGTGTAGGAAAGAATTATTCGTAGGTGGGCACCAAGTTGTAATAGAGCTGTAATTTGAATAAATGTGTCCCTTTTTTAAGCCTGTAGATAATTATATCAAAATAAAAGTAAATTGTTTCTAAGTATGAAATTCAGAATTAATTCTACCAAACAGACCTTTTCACTTGTGTGGATCTTTGTCACCATGCTACCTATTCTCCTTTTATAATACCTTGTTTCGGTAAATTGATTTCCCTGCAAGAACTGCGCCCACAACACTGCAGACAGCAAGCAGCATTTACCCATGGGATTGTAACCCTACCATTCCATCCTGCTGCTCAGATTCAGAGACCCTTACTATATCTTCATTTAAACAGATAGTATTTCTTCCCATCCTAGTACTTGCTCAACTTTACGTTCAAGTTCTTTTATACTTAACACAATTGCCCATGTATTCCAGCCAGTGAGTTAGTGCTGCTCTGGACCTAAAACTTACTTAAAAAATAAATGTCTTTCAGAAAGTTCAGTCCAGCCTGATGGCACTTACAACCTTTGTGAAAGTCACTGAAAAATATTTCGGTGTGCTGCTCACAGAAGTACATACCATTACTTTACAACTAAAAACATATTAAAAATATGAATAGCAGTTTTTTGAATTTCCAATAGATAAATTATAGGGTACAGATTCAGAATTTATAATTGAAGGAGTACAGATTTTTGTTTATTACTTTGAAAATATTTTATTATACTAATGCATTATACAAACATCATACACTCCAGAAGTAGTGTTTTAACAATATTTGGAAGTAAATTCTGAAATTAAATCACAGGTGGGTTGGACTTGTGGGAAAAAGGAAGGTTTTACCACACCTTAATGCTGCAAATACCGTTACCGATACAGGAGTTCAAAATTTCAGTGAATACATTCATCAGTAGTTACTGTTGGGGAATTTCTTTTATATGTTCTCCTCATGCGGGTTCCACATTTTTTTTAAGACCAAAAGAATTTACATTTTTGAGGCTTTCTAAATATGTCGATATTTTATAATAACTTTTTTTTTCTTACGTTCAGTCCCTGAAACGACTGGAAGACACCTAACAAATTCGTTATAATCTGACACTTCGATGCCATGCTGGCATTATTCCAGACTTCACGCAGCTTTGATACTGCAAATTCATTAGCAAGCCTTTGGAGAATGTTGTTTCAGGGCAAGTGGCTAGCCTCTCTGTTCTCAGTCGGAGGGTAGATGCGTGGTGATGAGAGAAGGGAAACCTATTTCTGACAAAAACATTTTGTCTAGCTCAGACCGAAACTGGCCCATGAAGAAACTTCCCGGATTTGGTTGAAGCTTGGTCCGGTCCCACGGTGGCTCTGCTGGGCCACCACCCAGTACCCCAAAAAGAGCCACCAGCCCCCTGGGAGGAGACGCTCCTCTCCTTTCAGGCTTCATGGAAGCCGTTCGGTGGAGGTCAGCGTGCTCAGGTCACGTAACTTCCACAAACTATTACTTCCTAAGCACGTCCCTTCCAATGGCTTTACCAAGTCACAGGGTTTGTTTTCCTGTCTTCCAGAGGAAGAGCTTGTCGGGTGCTGATGGACTTGCAAGTTCAGCACGCTTGGGCTTACGGCTTCTGAAGGTTATTTGTACACATCAAAGGTTATTTGGATTTCATGCTGGGTAGAAATGATTAGTTACCTAGCGTGCCATTCATAAAGGCAGACACATTGGCATAGGTATTATCTAGCACTCGGGGATCCATGATTGTACAAAGTATGACAAAGCAATTTGAGAGTCTGTAATATATCAAATAATTACCTAATAAAAATATCTTTAAATAAGATGCTTACATAATAAAAACAACTTTTAATACGCATACGTACTAGTTCTTAATAGGACACATTTATAAAACCAAGATGATTTGCTTTACTAAACATGGATAATTGATTTGGAAATATATTTTTATTTTGTGACATTCTTAGCATCAATTAACATCAATTTGATAGTTTCTTAACACCAGCGCGTTAGAATAATTTTAAAATTTCCCAAGTGGGAGTCATCTTTTTTCAGCTTGAACTTTAATCTTGAGCCAAAAGAGGAGGAAAAAACTGAAAGACTAATTGGTGTCGCAAAATCCGTTTTCATACTACAAGAATCAACTCTGGTCTAGTTACTGTAGTTCTGAAGGTGCATGATTACTGTTATTTTTCTCAGGGACAGTAATACTTCATTCCGTCTTTCATTAATTCTTTACTAAAAAATTTGCAATATAGATAGATGACTAAATTTACCGATTTTTATGTTTGTTTATTTTTTAAATAAATTCTGACTCAGTAGCTAAGTGACCAGCAGAGATACCAACTATTGCCAGCATTGTTGATTGGGTGAGATGGGGATACCATGCCAAAAGGTTTAATGAGATGTCATTAAATTAAAAGGTTTTCATTTCTGAACTTGGGTTTATGTAGCTTATTGTTTAGAATGCCTATTTTATTACTTATTTTTAGAATGCCTATTTTTTTTAGAATGCTTATTTTTTAGAATGGCTACTGCCTGAAAACTATTTCCCACAAAATTGTGTGTTTTTAACAGTAAGGCATCCTATTACAAAATATAAACCATTTAATAAAAATGTGAACAGCACTCTGAAAGATTCTGGAAGTTTTCCAAGTATTTCTGTCTTCTCACAAATTCTGCCTGTTTATGCATTTTGTGGCAGGTTCTTTGAACTCTCTTTTGTCGATTCGTCAATTATAAATTCAAATATTTTATACCCAAGTGAACACAAGAGACGTGTTTTAAGGAACATTACTTTTAAAAAAAAAAAACAACCTGGGTATTCCACTACTAGTTTCCCAACCGGACAGAAAGGCTTTTTATATGCATTTGAAATACTTGACCACCAATTAGCTTGACACCTACTCAGCCTCTGTATTCCTTTCATCTTCCAGGGACGGGTCTGTGGTTTGGATGCTTAAGGAAACTGTTTTCCCACCTTTCCCGTTTCGTATTTAATTCCTCTTTTTATAGGTTAAATTATTCAGAATTTGTTTAAAACACAGGAATTTTTATTATTTACTGCTGCTTTAAAATTTAGGTATGCTTTTCAGTAGGTACCTAGTGCTAAAAACATACAATCAAGGAGGAAACAAGGGGACGGAGTTTTCTGAGCCAATAGTTGGTCTGGAGCTGGGCAGAAAACATCCTTACTAAGTGCTTTGCACTAATATCAGTGAAAAACAAAGTGTAGTTTTCAATGTGACATTCTTGGCACAAAAAAAACTACTCCGTAAGTAAAACTTGTACAATTATTCTGCTGATGCTTTTAGCTTAGAGAACATTTTTCAATCCTATAAAAACAAGCTCTACAGATGTTTAAAGGGGAAGAAATAACTACAATCAATACCTTCTCTTTATAATGCTTTTTTTTTCAAATCCTGGCTTTTTTGTTAATAGTTCTCCGTAGTGACATTTTATTCAAGTTTTTTCTTTTGTACAGTGCGTGTTGAGTACTGTTTCTGGATCTTACGATTTCAATATAATAAACCAGAGCACTGCTGAATAACTGAATGTATGATAGTGCTGTTCGTGTCCTCTCCATTACCCTTTAAAGACTAACAGCTTATTTTCTGTGTGGGCTTCTAATTAACGTGCTCTTCTGCATCTTCTCTATTGTTTTAATTCTGTTCCTCCCTCAAGGGAAGGTTGTTTTCCTGGGTTTTGTAATCAGTGACCATACATTGCTAACGGCACCAACTTCTAATTCTCTTTAGGAGATTTATATATTTTTATTCTGCTTCAGTTTTTTTTCCCCCAAATCTCAGTAAAATCCTACGCTTGATTGATCACTACAGAGGAATTCATTCTGGGAGGGGAAACTCACTGGACTTTGGAAATGTCATATAGAGTCAGAGGCCTAACGTCATTCAGTGCACTCACAGAGTCAGGTGTTTTGAATATGAGTTATGTCTGCATATAATTGACATGAAATTGTATCAAAAACCACATCCTTTAAGTCAGAATTCAAATGGGAAGTATGGAGGCTGAAGTGATGGCTAATCACCATTAAAAGTGAAATTACCTGAAATTGCTCAAAGTAAAAGGGAAAGAAATACAACAATTTTGAAATGGAATTGTATTTTTTAGGTCTTTCCAATCTTTTTTATAAAATGTACTGCATAAATGACTCAAAGTCGTAGCAGAATTAATCATCATTACTGATGTATGCTAATCTGTGCCTGTTTGGCTGCACTTTGAGGTTATGCTAGCTCGTATTATGCATATTACTTTATAAGCAAAGGTGATACAGAGAAAAACCAACCAACGTAGGGGACAACTTCCCTTCCCGTTTTAGCAAATGGTACCTTTGGTTTGAAATCACGTACTTTCGCAGGCCATAGAGACCCACCTCATCCGAAAATCAAGCGGGGGGCTGACATACATCGCAGAGTGGAAGGGCGGACTGCTTGAACACAAGATGGGACATCTCACCTGTTTTGCTGGCGGCATGTTTGCTCTAGGAGCAGACGGAGCACCTGACGACAAGACGGGCCACCACATTGAGCTCGGTGCTGAAATCGCTAGGACGTGCCACGAATCCTACGATCGCACCAGTGAGTACTGTACTGCCCAGTGCAGTTTCACAGTTGGCCTTGGGGAAGGCGGCCGGCGGTATTTCTGCGTAACGCTGAATGAGAGCTGTACGACGGTGGGAACTCCCCATCCTTTCTGAGCAGGTGCTGCTTTGCCTGAAGAGTAACTTTAAGAACGGCTGCTCTGTTTTATAAATAATGTCTGTACACCTGAATCAGGTCTACTCGCTCCAGTAATTAACATGACAGCTTTTTCTTCCATTTTGCCAATTTCTGCATAGCTGAATACAAATAAGAGAGAGACCCTGTTCATTTATGCATCAATTTAGCTATTAATCATGTTTTACGCACACAAAATTATTTTGTTCTCAGTTCTGTTGGTACAATGCTGCAGAGAATAGAACTGCGTAAAGAAAGTGGATTTCTGTGCAGGAGATTTCTTTGGATTCTTTCATCTTCTTATAGAAATAACCCTGGCAGCATTTCAAGTCCCAGAGTGTATTTTCCAGTTTGATACAGAGAAGTAAATATCCTCGTCTTGCAAGCAAAATTTCACATGCTTCTGGTTATATGAAGTCTTCCAGAATGCAAATGTTAGCATCACTGTTCAAATTGGAACTGCTGTTTAAGGCATTGCTCTCTCCTACTCTGAATTATTTACAAAATATTAAAAACAGGAGGTGCTGTGGTATCGTTCAGAAATTATATACCTTTTGGGTAACCTGTGCCACACAAAAGGGTAGTTGATTTGGTAGGTTACATGATTTGAAACCTTTTTAAATGCCTTTATTTTAACATGTGGTTTTATATTGGCTAGGCATGAAACTGGGACCAGAAGCCTTCAGATTCGACGGTGGTGTTGAGGCCATTGCTACAAGACAAAATGAGAAATACTACATCCTACGACCAGAAGTCATAGAGACCTACATGTACATGTGGCGGCTCACTCACGACCCAAAGTACAGGCAGTGGGGATGGGAAGCTGTAGAGGTAATGTTCTGCTGGACCTTTTTCTTACTAAATCCTAATATCTTGTTAAGTGAGTTATTGAATGATGATATCTGGATATTGTTTAGCAGTTGGAGAGTAAATATTTATTTTAAATCAGTAATATCAACTCAAATGTCCAGAGATTCATTTACTTAAATAGATGAACTAAGATCATTTTGACAAAAGCAAATACTGCTGCTATTGTATATTAGAACAATACCTTGTGATTTCTCCTTCTTAAATATTTCTCAGATCAGGGTCATATTTGGATGTACTGCTCAAGATGTTGAGTACTGGTGCGTATGAAAGGAAAGTGCAAACGTGTGTCAACGTGTTTGAGCCTTGGACATGGAAATAAGTTTTATGAGGTGTATTTTCAGCAGTAATTGTACAAAGGAGATTTTAATTAAAGTGATGAAGGCCAAGATGAAGTACTAGATAGATAGTACCAAGCATTTAAAAAAAGGGGTCACTTTCAAAAAGCGTAGGTCATCTGGACCGAGAACTCCATTAATGATAACAATCTCTTCTAGATTGAAATTTCTGTGTCCCACTAGTGTCTGAGCTTCAACCAGCCATGCTAAACCTGGCCATTTGTGTTTGTCTAGCACGAGCCTTCCCGGAGGACAGCTAGTCTATACTGCTAAAATTGCCTTGCCAAACCCATCGTTTCCCTTATTTCAGTGGTTAATCACTCTTACTGTTAGAAATGAGAGCCTTTGGAGTTACCATGTTTCATCCTCCAGGTATGGGTCTTTATTACGCTTCTAGAGTTCACTTATTTTCTCCTCACATTGATGCTGCCCTTGTTGAATTTACCTCTTATAGGAGATACAGAAAGCTGAAGAACGTTATTCCTGCAGCTCTGTATACTTAAGAAAAATGGGGAAGGGAAAAAAAAGCAAACCCAAAACTCTAGACAGTGACCTCTCCTTTGTGGAGTTACTGCTTTACAGGATTTCAGAAATGTCCTGTTTGTCATTTTGCCCAATATCTCATGCTTCTAGGAGTGTATGATCATACCTTTCTTGAATGGGCCTACAATGCTAGTTGTAGAACGTTACTCTATACTAAGGGAAGAACGTGTAGAGTTGTGTCATGCAGTTTCTCATCCCCAAGGGTCCCTGCTAGAGAGCTGTTACTGGATCATGGCTCCATATACCTGGCTGTGACGGGACAACCCTGCCAGTTACCTGCCTCCCTCTACAGCAACCCAGATTTGTAACTGTATTCAGTATTCACTGTGTGATTTACTGAACGTATCTTAAATGTTGTGCAAATGTTCTTGAGTGTTGTGAGAAAAGAGCATTTCCAGTTTGGTGATTAGATATTCTTGAGGAATTAAATTTATGGTAAAATCCATTTTCCATAAAAGAATAGCTGCTAGCATTAACTATACTTCTACTCTCTAACTTCTCCTTGTTCGAATATTCACAGCAGTTCCATATCTGCAGTCAACACTGTATTCATCTAGGTAGACTGTATTTATTTAGGGCATTTTATTTGCCTCCCTCAGGTGTTGGCTCTATTGGCCCTGAAACATTATGCTTCTGAGTTAATGATTCCAAAGCAGTTTTTTTTTAAAAAACCCTCTAATTTAGAGTCCTGTTCCCTTACTTTCTTTTTCGCTACCACCGTCCATAAGCACACATTTCACTACTGGAATCTTCCCAGGCAGATTATAATTGGAATATTTACAATGGCTGTTTATGGAAGTCATCCCACCAGGCTTCAGCAATGCCAAGTGTTCCTCCTCCAGGAGATGTTTTCCCTGACTCATTGTTGCTGCCCACACCAATAACATTGTTATAAACAATTGAAATGTTTTCGTTATTATTATTCTTTACCCTGTTGGTTCAGTTTGTTTGTGTTTATTTCAAGTCTGTACACTCATTTACCTTCTTAGGGCTCCCCACGTGTTCCCTGTTTAACATTCTTGTGGTTACTTTCATCTGGCTCTGACAGAGTGGATTATAGCCCACGTGTGGGAGATGCAGTTGGTCCCATTCTGTACAGGCCCATCTTCCACTGTCCTAATGTGCAGTTGTATGTTTCATGAAAACAAATCTTAAAGCTTCACAGAGGTTACACAGTCCATTGTAGGTTTCAAATCTCTTTTTTTCTTCTTCTTTTTTTTTTTTTTTTTTTTTTTTATTTCCTTGATGTTTATAGCCCATGAAACTGTAGGGTTTTTGTCCTGGCATGTGTCATGATAGCTTACCACAACTATTTCATTAATTCTGCTCTCTCTTGCTCCTTATTCTTGCACCAGAGAGCATGTCACTCCACCCTTTTGTTCTTGGGGAAGTCCCTGACCACTGAATATGCTTTGTTTAACTACCAACATCTGTTGCACAAAGAGGAAGCTGAGATTGAAACAATATAAAAAGGGGAACAGTCAGACCATTTGTTGTTGCCCAAAAAAGTTGTTATTCAGGTGTCTCAAACCCATTTTCAACTCATGACACGGGCAGTAAGAACTCATTAGGTTTGTTTCTCAGTGCCCTTGTAGAAGAAAAGGAGGCTGCTCTGTAAGTCATGACTTCTAAACTCTCCAACAAGTCTATTATTCTTTCTCTAACTTTCATAGAGTAAAAACATGCTCTGGCCTCTCCGTTTTTTCTTTGGCAACTTGCTTTGCTGCTTTGAGTCCGAGATCATTCTGTATGTACTTCAGCAGCTAGAGAAAACACAGTTACGACCAACAGCAATATCCACTGTTACTGAGTCAGAAAGGTTTTATCAGCTTCGCTCGTGAAAGTCTCCCTTTCTGCATTATAAATGTGGCACATATTTTGAATTCATAGCGCCTGCTTTGTTTTTGCCCTTTATGATACTTCGAGACTGTCAGCCAGTTTTCACTCCGCTTGATGTTTCCCATTACTCTAGCATAACTGATCTTAACCACCCTCATTTTCTGAGAACTACTAATTCAAAATGTGTTTGATTGTTTCTTCCCGCCCACCACTACCCCACTCTCCGTGTGAACATCACTGTACTCTGAAACTGCAGGTATGGGCACAAAAGGCCATTACTGCCAGTTAAAGGAGGGTGACAACCAAGAGCCTTTGTTGTACTAATGCCGCACATGAATGTCTTGTTCCTTCAGTTAAGTGGAAAGTAGCTTTGGAGGGGGTAAGATGCTTCACATCCACATCGAGCAGATACCACCAGATGGCTAACACGGCGCAAGCTGACCTCTTGGTTGACATCATAGCAGCGTGTTCAGCTACCTATATGGTATCTCCCCACAGTGAACTCATAAAGGCTCTAACTACATCTTACAGCACATAAACCGCAAATGCAATTTGCTTTTATTTTACATCACCCTGCTTAGAATGCAGAGGTTTCCTTGAATAATGGTCGTATCCTTCAAGTTCTCCCACTGCTGTGCCTTGGAAAACATAATCTTGTGTTTGACATTGAAAATCCAGACTCAGATTCAGCATTCTGAATGCACTGCAGGTTGAAGTAGACAAGAGGGAAGGAGTACCAGGCAGGGAAAATGACTTGTTTAAACTTAAGTGTATTTGTCACCTAGTAGAAGGCTCCAGGAAAATTAAAGAACCTAAAGACACATAGGAAAAGACAAATAGGCCTGTTATATTTTAAAAGATCTCTTCTGGAGAAAAATCCCTTTTAAATATACAATAGGCAGCTTCGTCTCCAGTGAAAACTGTGGAGAGCCTGACATGCAAGCTAAATACATGCAGATAGCTACAGGGACTCCAGCAAAAACAAGGACATTTAGGATATCTACTCACAGTGAAACACAGATCTTGAACAGCCTTTAGAGTAGGTGGAGGTGATGGATACCTCAGTAATTACTAGTGACTTTTAGTCTCATCTCTCATCAGAAAATGATTATTCTGCCTTTGCTTGTTTTAGACCTATCTTCTGCCTTTTCACAGCTTTTTGCCGCCTGTGGTTTGAAATGGAACATCTTTCCCTAAATAAAATCTACACATCCTGTAAGCACTTCCGTGATATTTGTAATAACCTCAGAAACGGAGGAACTAGTTGTGTTCCATCCCTCTGTCGGGGCTTTGATAAAGCTCCAGATATTTCTGCCTCAGTGTTGTTGCTCCAATACCTGCCTCACAGCAAGCACAATTCAGAGTAGTGTGGTCCTGAGCAAATGTAGTAACACACCATGCTTACTGTCATTTTCATTGCGAGAAGTTATTTAGGGCTAAAGAGCATTTCCTGTTTTGTTTTGATTTGGGTTTTTTTTAATAATGAGTTGTTTTAAATACAATCCTCTTGTATTCTCTTCACTTCTTTATTATACTGCTTGATACTAGAGAATGATTATAAAACAGAGCAAGAAGAACGAAGAGGCTAAGAATGCTTTCGACCTTGTTAAATAGGTCAATTATAAAGAAAAAAAGATGAGTGAATAGTTTTAAACAAAGCAAAAGCAGTGGTGAGAGAACTAATATTCAAATAAGGTATTAGATAGCAGTGTATTTAAAGAAGTTATAGCTCATATATAGGCATATAGGTACCACCTTCATAATGCAAACACCGGTTTAAAATAAAGAAGAGCAGCACACTTCATTAAATAGTATAACTTGTATATACCTTCTACACTTCCAGCACCAGGTACATGTTTTTTTGCCCTTCTGTGTATACCCTTCATCTGATCTTTTTTCTCCTTCAAAATTAGCTGATCATACAGAACATTCCTGGGGGCAGAAAAGGAATTATATTTTTAGGTGGTCTGTGTGCTCCTTTTTAATGTAAAATAGGAATCAATCACATGTTTTACACCTTTTACCTGAATACGCACCTTGGAAATTACTTAGAGAAAACCACATTCTTATTCTTAAATCTCAAACATGTTGCCTTAAGTCCAGCCACATACTAGCTTTCCATCTACTCCTGTGTAACAGACAAAGCTTTTTCAGAAAGGTGTCAAAGAAAAATAGTACTTACTGAAAAAAAGAAATTCAGTCATAGCCCAATATCAAAGCTTTCCCATTGGAAAAATAAATAATTGCAAAGAGAAACCAAACAACTTGCATAAAAAGTGGAGCGTTGCCTTTTTTTTTTTGAAGCAACTTGCAGGAGGTAAGGAAAAGACTGCTTTTTATTATGGTATGCAATTCTATCACAATAATTTTTAACCACTAAAATATGATCAAGAAAGGTATATGTGACATGATCTCTGAAGGCTGATGGACGAGCCTGTGAGGAAGAGGCTAATTGTTACTGATGTTAAAAAGAGGAAAAAGAAAATAAGTGAAAATCCATATATCTTTACATCCATATATCTTCCCTTCTGAAAACTGGTTTTGTGTTCACTTCTTCAGTTAATTTAGCATTTTGCTTCTCTTCCTAAATGTCAAATCAGATATGTGTGCCTATGTCTTTCTAAAAAGTTTCCTGTCTGGAGCTTTATCTAGTTTTCATCTCTTTATCAAAAACTTTGTGACTTTTTTTTTTTGTTAGTTTTATTGTCAAACAAAGAAAAACTGACAAATTATTCATTTTCTTAATTCCACTGGTTGTTTTTTTCTTCTTTCTTCCCCCTCTTCAGGCACTGGAAAAACACTGCAGAGTAGATGGTGGCTATTCTGGCATTAGAGATGTTTATAACAATCATGAAAGCCATGATGATGTGCAGCAAAGTTTCTTCCTTTCAGAGACACTCAAGTAAGTTAAGAAAATTGACATTCGTTAATATGAAGTAGTTCCATGTATCATTTTTACAGGTAAGTATTTCTCGTTAGTACCCACGACATCTACATAACAAAATCTGACTGAAATAGTAGAGCTATTCTTCAGTGACAGGATGCCAAATTGCCTTTTTTTTTTCCTTCTGTATCAGTAAACTAAATTCTGTAACTTCTGGAAATTATCTTCACTTCTGATGAAGTTACTTGATAGTCTTTCTTGAGAAATTACGTCTCCTAGCTTTTATAGGATCTAATTACATATGCCAACACTACTGAAACAAATTAACTAGGCAGAGGACTTACGAGGCCTGTATTGCATACTTTTCATTTTAAAACTCCAGAAAAAGAAAAAAGAAATCAGCTTGCATGGTAAGCTCACAGGGCCTGCTAAGGTAGAAGAACAAAAGCTTTCACTGTCTATCACCATCTCCTAAGTTTTTAATGAAATAAAGGAAGTTTTGTCTTGGTCTTTTAACTTTTTTTTTTTTTTTTTTTTTTTTTGCTGTGCAAGAAAGAGTTGCAAAGACCAGAAAGAAGCAATCATGCCATTTCAACAGAAAGTGTAAATCTCAAGTAAATGAAATATCATAACTATGTTTATAAACACAGTGACATTTTTTTGAGATAGTGTGCTCCTTCTACTATACCTTTCAAATTGGCCTATCAGAATTAGACCAAGAGAAGCCTTCAGGGAAGGATGGTGATTGAGAAAAAAAAATAAAAACTCATTTGATAAGCAGACTTCCATAATCATGCTCCAGTAGCTACTACCTTGTATCATGACAGGAAGTTAAATGTTGGATTTCTTTATTAGTTACTGCTGGGTTTAATAGATCCTGCCTTTAATAAATGGATGCCTAAGCGACTGGTCTAATGCTAGATTTCTTCTTTAAAAATCCTAAGCCATAGGTTGTTCTCAGAAGACAAGATTGGACTACATTATATTTATTCCTACACCTTGATATACGTGGGCAGTCAGGAGGAAAAAAATTACTATTGTTGTATATTATCAAAACAATATCTAATAAAATTGCCAAGGATGAAATGGGAAACAAAGTGAACTGATATTTAACCTTGATAGCCTAAACTTCTTCGTCCTCTATCAGGACAGACATTCTTTTGTTGGTCTCCAGTTGCTACTGCCCTGGAGTTCAATCTGAGTGGAGTGGCCCCAAAGTTTTGTGCTAGTCCTTGTGATGCTGGGACTTCCTGGTGTTTTGTGTTTGGTCAGCTGTTTCCATTGATACATTCATCTAGGGATATCAGGTATTTATGTTTTCCTGAAAACTACCGTAGTTTCACTTCCCTGATGTGGTCACGTTTCCTGCTTTTGTTTTTGCCAGGTACTTGTATTTGCTGTTTTCTGAAGATGATCTTCTTCCATTCGAACACTGGGTCTTCAACACAGAGGCTCATCCTCTCCCTGTTCTTCACAAAGACGATGGGAATAAAGAAGAAAACCAGAAGTAGATGAAGATTAAGTTATGCTTTGTTTCATTCCTTCTTTCTTTCCAGGACTTGGGCACATGATTTGGTTTTAAATTCCTGAGTTAATTTTTAAATCGAGTGTTTTGCAGTCCGTTTTCTTTAATAGTAAATATTTATGAATGGACCCAATCTAATTATGATAAAGCCTCAGTCCTCTAAGCCAGCTGAACCACTTCTTAGAAGAGAAATGGGACATCTCTCTACATTTTATTAGGTTGCAGTGTCATATTGGCCAAAAGGAGCAGAGGGTCTGCATGTTACTCGTTTCCTCTTATGCTTTTAATTTGACTGCAAAATTCTTTTCTCCTCTGTGAGGAGATGTCTGCTTTAAGCTGTAATATTTTGCCATGTTGCAAAAAGCCATATTGAATTAAGTATAAAAAGCTTTTTTCTGTTTTGGTTTTTTTTTTTTTTGTTCTGTGTTAATTTGTTTTGTGTGTCATCCAAGACAAATCTTGTGACTGTGACAGCCTCTTCTTATGCGGGTCTATCATTACTTGGTAAAGTATCTGATGTATTTCATTGTCAATGAAGTCTACATAGGATTATTTTCATCTCATGCAGACATGACTCTGAAACTGCAGTATACGTTGAAGTTAACTAGTTTCTATGAATTTAGCACATTAGTTAGCAGAACTTAGTTTTTCAGGTTTTGATTAGAATATTGTAATAGAATAAATTGCTTCCTCCCTTTCCTAAGTGGTGTTATTCTCATGTCTTTAGTCAGGCTACTGTGGAGTAAAATAAGATAGTAATTTCTTATTAAGAAAGGGAGTCTTATCTTCTTTATATATTTAGTCCAGTAGCTTTCATTTGGTTGGATGGTAAAAAGACAAAAAAATACTTCATGACAGTTTTCTGGAAGCTGAGAATTATACCAGAGACAATTTGCTCAGTTTTCTGGGACTTCAGCAAACATTCAGATAGGTCAAGACTTGACAGTTTATTGTCACAAAGCAATTTACTGTATCTATGTGAATAAGGCTAGATGTTAAGATGCCTTGAAGAAAACTTGGCTCCTTAAAAGATAATCATTCAAGAGAGGAAATTATCCAGCACAGAACTAAAACTTTCTGAAAGCAGCAAGTGACAGACATGCAGTATGTTTAAAAATATTCTGTAGATTAGGGGCCTGGTTTACTAAGAAAGGTAACAGCTTTGTCAAAAATGTTTTACTTTGTGGCATCACCAAAGGGGAAAAAAAAAAAAAAAAAAAAAAAAGAGGCACAATTACTGGTTCTACTTAAGTGTAGTCTGGAGTGGTTTACATGCTTATTAAGTCTACCTAAGTTTTCATTTAGTGACAGGATGACTTTCATACACTTTGAGTAAGGTAACAACTCCTGGCTTCCCATTCTGAGAAAGCACATTAATCACTGATTGGACTGCAACAAAACAAATACGGTTCTGAACAGTAGCCTTCTTTCAAGGTATTTAATAAGATAGCTCACATGCCCAGCATAGCTAACCAGGGCATTACAGAGTACGTTGTTTCTATACTGATAGAGGTCTGCAATGTAGGTTTTCTTAGGCAGAAGCCAAGAGCAGAGAGAACTAATTACGTTTTTATATATATAGCAGCTGGAGGCTGACCCATAAGCTTTACCCTCTGGAGTCTGTAAAGACAGCACTGCCTCTGCTTTCCCTGCGGACAGGGAAGGTGGCACAGGTCCCATGAGCTGCCAGCGACATTCGTGTAGGGGGCAAGGCAAGAGGAGCTCCTGCAGTGCTGATCCTTCCACTGCAGGCCTGGCAGAGCTCGGAATTCCTGCATGGAATTCCTGGGCCACCCGGCGCTGGGAGAAGGGAGACACGTGAAGGTGCAGCTGCCTCAAGTAAAGGCTGCTTACATGGAACTGGCACATTGTCTCAAGACTTTTTGCTTTACTGCTTTTTTTTGGTTTTATTATTACCATTATTATGATGTTGTTTTGTTTTGTTTTGTTTTTTTTTAAAGTATGTATTCCCTCATGTCACAATAATGGTTTTCCGAAACTGAACAAACAAGGATGAAGTCTTGTCTCTGTTGAAAAGCTGCACTCCTGCTGATTTTGATACTCCAGAATTTGTATCATTGGAGGACTATAATATTTCATTGTATTTCTTCAGAAACAGTATTTATAAAACAGCTTCCCTCTCCCCTCCCACTCCGCCCAAGTACCACAGGGAAAGTGTAGCCGTGGAATAAAAACAAAAATTCTCTTCCTTCTTTAACCAAAAAAGTAATAATAATTACTTTTGTCTTAGTTATCTTTATTGGGTCATCTGCTGCTGCCTATCACATGGTTGTGCATGTGCTGCTATAGGCCTCCTATCAGTTAAATAACTACAGTAGGTCAGACAAAACAAGCTTTTGAGAAAAGGGTTTTATAAGCCTCTTTTTACATGGTTTTCTTAACCACAGTATGCTTCCCCCAGACATGTCTAGTGGTCTTGCCTTTACTTAACAAGCTGAAGAGAAACAGTGGAGAACCAGCTAGCTCTTCTCCATGTTTCAAAAAGCAAGCTACAAACACACAACTTGTATGCGTTGGGTCTTCTGTACTTAAATATAAGCATCATGACTGTTTCCTTGTAATACGGACATTTAGTATTAATATTTTTTTTTTAATTTGGGAGTTACAATGATTTGAAAGAGCACAAATTTGATGTGACTGGTATTGGTATTCAGGTTGTATGTACAAACTGCACTATACTGTACTTTTTGTAAACTAATGTAAGTAGACAAGAAGATTGTACAACGTGTAGATCTGCCAATTGTAAGAAAAAGAAACTTTTCATAGACTGATGAATATATTGATTTTTCTTCTTTTTTTTTTTTTTTTTTAAATAACCCCAAAACACCAAAGTTAGAGCAATCTTTTTGAAACAGTCAGTACTTACCACTGCTTGTTAGATTGCTCAGATGACTTATGTTTTACTTCTCATTCACTTAACTAGCTGCATGGAAGTGGCTAGTGATGGTCACTTTGTGTTCCCAGTCATTCATAAGAACAAAAGAAATTACGGGGGGGAGGGGGGGAAGGGGAGGGCATTAACTTCCCATAAACCCACTGCCTATACTTTTTCCATTTCTTTGTAGCATAATAATGCATTTAAATCTGCATATGTTAAATCCTAAGAGGTAAATTACTTTAAATGGCACCCACATTGTTTCATGGGGAAAAAAAAAAATAATGTTTTGTTTGTTTGTGAGATAAGTATTGCATATATGTTGGTTGTACACAGATTTTTGCAATGCCCAATGGCTCACTGTTTCTATGGTGACTTCATCATACATATTACCCATTTATATCATTCATTTAAATTGGTTTTGATTTGTACATAGTCCATGTAATCTTTCATCTTTATATAAACTGAAATTATGGAATACATAATAGATCAAGATGCTTAATTTTTAAGAACTTATATTTGTAAAAATTTCTCTATTGTGAATAAAGTCTTTTAATATATCTGTTCAACGGGTTATAATTTTTCCTAAGTGTGTTGCAGAAGTAACTACAGGAATCTGCTGCACAGTCTGTTTTGGCTGCTGTACTCGTGAATTTTTGTCAGCAGATTGGTTTGATACAATTAGTACTCTGTGTACTTGTTAAGAGACTATTGTTAATGTTAGCGTATAGGATTGGTACACCACAGAAATAAATTTCTAGAAATTTTTGTCGATAAAATTCAGCATACCAGATGTATTTTGGTAGGAAGTGAGCCTACACGTGAAAAGTGGGAAGCTGGGGAGGGAGGTGGCAGGCAGCAAGCACAGGGAAGGTCGGTCAGTCGCTCCAATTCATGCTCTGCGCAATACCAGCCGGCTTCAGCTACATGCCATTTAGGAGCAAACACCGGAGCAGAGATGACGAGGCTGTCACAGTGCCCAGTGTTACATGATCATGTAATGAAATGCTATCCTTAGTCCGTGCTCCAGAGGAGAGAGGAGCAGTTGTCATAGGAACGGTAACTACATTTTGTGTCGGAAGGACGTTAAGATCTCCGATCTAACTATTGAAATAACAGCTACACCTCACAGATAACCTTGTTTTCTCTGTTTAGTAGAAAGCCTCATCCAAAAATGACAGTGAAGTAAACTGCTATGATTTTACAGAACAGACTCAGTAGTATCAATTTCTGTCAAAGGACTTACTCATTAGACCTGCTTAAGTCAGTGTTGAGAGTAGCTCTTGGATCTGGCATCTCATTTTCCAGCACAGCTGCAGGTGTGCAGCACACAGTGCAATCCTTGGGGTAGTCAGCAGGCAGCCCCCTCCTGTAGCTGGCTCCAGGACCACACAAACTGCTACTCAACAAGATAAAGATGAATTAATGCAAACCTTACTGCTGATCGTTATTCACAACAGATGCAAATACAAGCCTGCACTAGAATTTCAGGCGGTTCGGTCTCTTAATTGGATGCTTGATGTGGTTTGTTTTCTGCAGGAGAAAAAGGAACTAGGACTGAGTTGACAATTAGTCAAGACAAACAGGATTTGCCCCACTGTCTGCATTGCCCTATGGCCTTGCTCTATCACAAGAGGAACTTGGTACTCATGACAGCATCTGCTATGGAAACAGCTTTTCATCTGATCCGCCTTAATCTTGGGATTAGACTGTCCTGGAGGAAATGCAGGAGGAAAATTTATGCATCAAAAAGCAGCCTGCCAAATCCAGGAAATGGTTGCAGAGACTCAGAGTTCCTGTCTGAATACTGTGAGATGAGATAAAACACAAGGTTTTTGCTCTCTCCTGGGTTATGCATTTATCCATACGCAAAGTGGTGGATGGAGCAAGTCACACAGCTGCAGAATCCAGTTAGAGCCCAGCGGGCTGTCAGCATTCACAGCACCTCAGAAGCCAGTGGTTTGACCCTCATTTCTCAGGTATCTGCTCCTCCCTCTGCACCAACTCTCACGCATCCTGTTAGTAAAATCACCATAATCAACCTGCTGGATTCCCCTGCCCCAGCACCACCTGGCCCAGCAGCTCGGGCTAAGGACAAGGCTTTGGGGGTGCCTGTGGGGTAGGCAGCTGCAGCCCTGGCTTACCTCAGCTGGTTTGGACTCTGTTTACTAAAACACATGGTCAAAGTTTTTCAGCTTTCTTGCACTGCTGTCAGCTCTCACAGTTGCGATCCTGCTGCTCTTACCCAACAGTTCAGATTTTGTAATCCAGTTTTTATCACTAGCTGAAGGCACTACTAACGTCTACCTGCTAAATACTTGCTATTTAATGACCGGCATGTTTCCTCCCAAACAACTTTCTATTTTGATGCTTGTTCCTCGAGGAACCTCAGTTGGGTGAAACATTTTCATGCTTCAGGCCTACTTTTCTCAATGCAGAACTTTACATTTGCTGCTGGGAGCACCTCTGCTTCCCTCAGCTCTGAGAACCTCAGGTCCCCCCGGCCCCTCTCAGGGGTGGAGGTGTGTTCACAGAGCTCAGTCCTCTGCTGCTGCTTGTATCTTACAAGTCACCGTGGCTTGCTCCCAGCATGTTAAATCCCACAACTTCACAAAACTCAGAATAAAAGTAGGCTCATAACCTTGCTGCTTTCACATTCGCTATGTCCAATTGTATATTCAACCCCATGGGAAAAACTGTTGCTATGTACTGTGAAGAGCTATATCCATAAGCCTCATACCATTCTTTCCATTTGCAATTTAAAATACAATGCTCTATTTCAAAAGTACAGCACAAAGAATTGTATAGCAGAGGGACAAAGTAAGGGATGACCAAAAGTATACCAAATGCTGTATTTACAAGAGGTTTTATTACAGTTTGATTATCTTTTAGCTAGAGCTAAATGTTCAGCCACAGTTGCTTTCTATTCCATTTGCTTCTGGGTTTGCTGTAATTCCCAGCTCCTATTATATGTGTTCCAGATGCTTTTCCTCAGACATCTGCATTGAGCTTTTCACTAACAACTAGCCATAAGCACTCCATGGCAAGGAAAAACAAAAAAACAAAAAAACAAAAAAACAAAAAAAAAAAAAAAAAAAAAAAAAAAAACCACAACACACCATGGCAAAACTTTGTGTTAGTTTAAATATTGAGCTACAATTCCATGGAACATAAGTAAGCAGAAACTGAAGATACATTTTTCATGTGCAGTTCCAATCATTACAGTTTACACAACACCTTCTAATCTACAACTGCACAAGAGTTTCAGGATTTTGTCTCAGCCATCCTCAAAGATGCCACCCAGAGCTAACAAGGGCAGGAGCAGCAAATTAACACACCACCACTCCATAGCCATCCTGGGCAGGAGCTGCCAAACACCAGATCGCAGGAGAAACCCAGGAAAAGCAAAACATAATGACTCAAAACACCTCCAAAAACATCAAACATCCAGACACATTTACTGTGCTGCTCCCTGGAAGGGCAGAGGGAGAAGAGATTCAAGCCTTCGGCTCAAGCATCGCAGAGCTCCTTCTTTGTGGTTCAGGAACCAGAGAACTGGTCCCTGATGTTTTGGTTCCATAAGCAGAAGTTTGCCACCAGTCTCCTTCACTGCCCGTCCATGCACAACCAGTGTCCCTCAGCGTGGGTGTCCCTCGGTGTGGGCACCCACCCTCACGCGTGGCACAACAGTGGCTAGGTGCTACAGACCCTCGCTTGTAATCCAGATGAACACTGACTCTAATGACTCGGATTTTTAACCCGGAATCACACAACAAAAAGACTTTTGCCACTCCCAAGCCTCCCCCCGATGAATTTAAGACTGTGGCACCTTTCAGACAATGAGTGGCTTCTATTCTGTCCGGAGACATATAACACAAGTCATAAGGAAAAACCCCCCACTCCCTGCTGCTACATGAGAAATTGAGGGCAGAGCTAATTAGAGGAGTGGATTTGCTAGTTGTGAAAAGCCATAGTTCTTTGCAAATATATCGATTTCAATGCACCTTTCCATTACAGAAGATTTTTCTAACCACCACTGTCATCCACTGACCAGGAAGGCCATCCAGCCAACCAGAGGCTCAGGTACTCCCTCAGGCAGCTAAAGACATAGGTCAAGTGTGTGGTCCAAGCTGTAAAGAGCCCCACACCCCATCCTGTGGGGACACTGAGCTCTCCTACCAGACCCACAGACATTTCCTCGGTTCCACTGGTGTCCCGGAGCAGGGCCTTTGAAAGTGCTCAGTTCCAGCAGAGCCAGGCACCTCTGACAGCATCTCAGCCAAGAAACACATGGGAAGCAAGGTTACCATAACAGCTTGACCCTTCCTGGAGTCCAGTCATTTCTCCAGAAACTCTGCAGCCCCCCCCAAAAGACTGCTGCTTTATTTTGTTTAAATATTTTAACATTAAGCAGCAAAGCGCCAAGAAGTAGCTTCAAACATGCTTTTTTTCCACTAAAGCCAGCTCTCACCACCACCGTGATCCTTGTGTTTGGGAGCAACCACACAGACTAGAAGCAAGCACAAACAAATCCAAACTTGCCTAAGAGCAAGCAAAATCTGCCTCACTAGCAGTTAACTGCACCAAGGACTCATGATAAAACACCAACTGAGCATTAATCAACCAGCACCCATGGCAGCTGGGATCAGAGTGCTCCCCTCACCACAGGGCCAAACGCCCTCCCTTATATCTCAGAGTGTAGAAAAGCACCAGAGCAATGCTCCTAAAAGCAGGATCAGTGATTTCTCACGGCACAGCACAGGCGCTGCTCAGATCACCCTGGAAATTTAATTCTGGATGCTTGGCTCCAGTGCAACCCATGCCAACAAAACAACACAAACCAAAGGAGACTTAGCAGGCTGAGAGAACAGGAGCTTAAAAGAAAGATGCTAGAAAAACCTGAGAGTCTCTAAAGAAAAAGAAACTTCTTATTGCCTCCTTTTCTCATGAAGCACCTTCCTACTATAAGAATACAGGTAGAGAGAATACTAATTAAACCACACCTTCATGGTCCAATGGGACAAAACAAGAAAAAGGGAGTTTATCATCTTACTGATCACCTCTCTCCTGACACCCACTGATGCAAACAAGGGGGAGAAGATAAGCCAGGACCTAAATAACAAGCAATTACCTGAGCAGCCTCCCCAGAGTCTCTCAAGGCCAGAGCAATGCAACAGTGCCTCTCGCAATTTCTGCAAGGGCTCTCAGCTGCTACCATAACCATTTCCACCCTAGGAGCTCTAGAGAAAATATGTTTACAAGTGAAGCCAGTTGGTGTTGCACCCACATCTAAAGCCCTGAAAAACTACATTAAATTACAGGAAATTGAGGCTATAGAGAAAAATAATCCTGTCTTTCATTGTGCTGGTTTTGTCTCAAGCTTACCTCTGACCAAATAAAAAAATCAAAGAATACTTCATTGGCTCCTAGACACAAAATTTAATACATTCGTCCAGTAAAATGCTATTGTCCACATTTTACTTTAGTCTAAAACCTGAATCTATTTCAATAACAAAGAAAAAGTGAGAGTACATGTAGACTCTATTAGTGTTTAATACTAAGATATATTTACAGATACAATCAATCCTTACAACTATCCACTTCTGCTGTAGGATTTGATAGACTGTAACATAGATCTCAGTATCTAATTCTCATTTCTTTCTGCTCCAAGGCAAAAAGGAGAAGGAAACAGCCTCACACTGAAGCGTATGCACATTTTCCAACCAGAGAATTAATTGGCTGCTCAGAGTCACAACTTGTTTGGGGCACTAAATCTTCT